TGACAGAGACCATATCTTAAAAAAAAAAAAAAAAAAAAAAATCAAGGGTAGGGTAACATAGCCAGTGTCACCACAATTCAAAGCAAGCAGCAGAATTTGGAGGATAATTTGTTTCATTCTTGGGAAAATGTGAAACTCTGAAACTGCTTCTGAGTGCAGGGTATTTCTAAGGCTTTTCTTGAACTCTTGACCCTTGGCTCTGACCCCTTATTTGAAGTTTGGAGAGAGAACTGAGGGCTGTATTACTCTAGTTGTGGACACACGAGAGGGGTTAGTCTCCCCCCCACCCCAGGAGTTAGGGATGCTGGGCTGCTTGAACACAGACCTTTTTAGAACTCCCTTCAAACAGGATCCCAGAGATATGGGGACAAGGTAACTGGCCTTAAGAATGATTGTGCCACAGCTTTCAAAAACTATAATGCCTTTCAAATATGGCTTATTACTTGAATCTCAACATCTCCCATATATCTTGGGTGGGGGATATTTTGCTGAAGATCTTTCTGTAAATCATTCTCAATCATGTGCTGTAAAATTCGGTTAACAATAGACCATATATATGATGGTGGTTCCATAAGAGTATAATGGAGCGATCCCTGTACAAGTATACCATTTTTATCTTTTTTTTTTTTTCTTTGAGATGGAGTCTCGCTCTCTCCCAGGCTGGAGTGCAGTGTGACGATCTCAGCTCACTGCAAACTCCACCTCCCGAGTTCAAGCGATTCTCCTACCTCAGCCTTCTGAGTAGCTGGGATTACAGACATCTGCCACCACACTCAGCTAATTTTTGTATTTTTAGTAGAGACAGGTTTTCGCCATGTTGGCCAGGCTAGTCTTGAACTCCTGACCTCAGGTGATCCACCCACCTCAGGTGGGATTACATGTGTGAGCCACCAAAGTGGTGGGATTACAGGTGTGAGCCACTGTGCCCAGCCCCCATTTTTATCTTTTATACAGTATTTTTACTATGCCTTTTCCATGTTTACATACACAAATACCTGCCATTGTGTTACAATTACCTTCAGGATTCAGTACAGTAACATACAGTACAGGTTTGTAGCCTAGGAGTCATAGGCCATACCATAGAGCCTAGGTGTGCTGTAGGCTATACCACCTAGGTTTGTGTAAGTAAATGCTTTGATGTTAGCACAATGGTGAAATCACCTAAGTTATTATTTACTATATATGGAATGCTTTTTTTAAAGGAGCAAATATTTCATTTCAGTGGGAACTAAATTTGGGGTTAGAGTGTTTTATTTAATTTTCATCCCAAAGTTACAAAGTGTTTTGAAGTGTTTCCCTGTAAAATAATAATATGTATATTTTTGAGACAAACCTTCATTCTATCACCCAGGCTGGAGTGCAGTGGCTTGATGTCGGCTCACTGCAACTCCGACTTCTGGGTTCAAGCGATTCATGTGCCTCAGCATCCCGAGTAGCTAGATTACAGGCACCTGCCACCATGCCCAGCTAATTTTTGTATTTTTAGTAGAGACGGGGTTTCACTGTCTCGGCCAGGCTGGTCTCAAACTCCTGACCTCAGGTGATCCATCCACCTCGGCCTCCCAAAGTGCTGAGATTACAGGTGTGAGCCACCATGCCCGGCCAAAATAATTATTTTAATTTAAATAAAACCCACCAAGGAGACTTCAAGCTTTAAGAAATCTAGCTTCCTGTGGAATGTGAGAGGAAGTCAGCAATGATTTCAGAAATCTGATTATAACAATAGGTCCATCCCTAAATGAGGCAAATCTTGGAATCCCTTCCATTTTATTTTATTTTATTTTATTTTATTTTGTTTTTTTGAGATGAGTCTCTGTCACCCAGGCTAGAGTGCAATGGAATGATCTCACCCCACTGCAACCTCCGCCTCCTGGGTTCAAGTGATTCTTCTGCCTTAGTCTCCTGAGTAGCTGGGATTACAGGCATGTGCCACAATGCCTGGCTAATTTTGTATCTTTAGTAGAGATGGAGTTTCACCATGTTGGTCAGGCTGGTCTTGAACTTCTGACCTCAGTGATCTGCCCACCTTGGCCTCCTAAAGTTCTGGGATTACAGATGTGAGTCACGGTGCCTGGCCCCACTTCAATTTTTAAAACCATCACTATGCACCATATGCCTATGCTAGGCACTGGAATAAGATGAAGCACCTTCTTGGAGTTTACACACTGGTAATTATGCCAATCAGTCAGTAATAATATAGGTAAGAATGGCTGTGGGGGAAGTCAGCTGGGTTCTAGTTTATAGTCACATTTCAGGAACTTATTTAACATGCTGACTTAACAACCTAAGCCTCCTCTCCATGTGTGCACACAGGGTAGACCTCTGAAGGGTGGCACTGTAACTTCTAGGGTAATGTGGTAAGTCAAGGCAGGATGACAGTTCAGCCTCCTCCCAGGCTAGTGCAAAGGGTTCTTCACTCGGATTGAAGCCTTCTCTCCCAGACTGAATTCCCCACCCCCAACACCCCTCCTACAGAAAATTTGGAGTCCTTGCTTATTCCCTGGCGGCCCCTACCCAATAGGGTCGTGAATCAATTATCAAACATGCAACAAAAGATATAGAAAGTTTAGCGAAAATGGCAACATTTTGGAAAAATGACTGTAATGTGCGTTCTGCCTGCCACCCTAACTGGCACACATTTTGCAGGTCACTTGCTCTCCCTGGAAGGAGGAGTATTCTCAGATTTCACCTTGGAGGAGGAAGAGTTCAGGCTGCCAGAACTGGGCTAGCGCTTCTGAATATCCTGAGGCAAGGTCCTGTAACTTCCCTGGGAAGCTCTGCCGTGTCCCCACCCCACCCCACTCCACCCCACCCCACCCCACCAGGCTGCTGGAGTCCTGGGACCCACCCGGGTCTGCAGCCCAAATCCTTCCTAGCTAAGGGGAGAGGAGAGGGGGGAAGGTGGGCTTGGGCGGGATTGTGACATAAGATCGCCTTGGTGACATGGAGCAGATCTGTTCCGGCGGGGTCCAGATCCATTCAGGCGGGGCGGGGTGGGAAGGGGGGCTTGGGCGGGATTGTGACATAAGATTGCCCTGGTGACATGGAGCAGATCTGGACCCAAGCCTAATAAAGGTAGTGTAAATAAAGGTGTCATAAAGGACGGGGCGGGGCGCGTGCTTGTCAGGGACGCCAGCCTCTAGGGGCTGCCAGAATGGTTCCTGCTCAATGCGCGGCGCCAGTGCTTATCATGTCCCGCCTACGTCTCTGGGCCCCATGGCCCCTCCTCACGTGGCAACTATTGTGGCTACTAGTCCAGGAGTCTCAGCCTCTGGAGAGGGTCAAGGACCCGCTCCAGCTGACTTCTAACCCCCTGGGGCCTACTGAGCCCTGGTCTTCCGGCTCCTCCGATCTCCCATGGGAATCTCTCCATGCGCTTACTCCCTCGGCGGACGCGGGGGGCTTTGATTACCTGGGGTCCTCTGCTTCCTCCAAGAGGTCAGCTCCGCCCCAGGAATCGACTGAGAATTTGGTTCCATTCCTGGACACAGATTCAGATGGAGAGCTGCCCCCGGGGCCCGAGCACTTCTCATCTGCACACCCGGATCTGAATGACAAGCTGACTCGGCAAGAAAGGCTCCCACAGGTGGATCCAATGCTCGGCTGGGATCAGAACCAGACGCTAGTTCAGCCTGGTCACCACAAAAGTAAGGTTCAAACTGCAGAGCTAGATCAGGCTGCAGATCATCAGGCAGATGAAATACTTGTTCCACCTCTAGACAGTCAGGATTCAAAAGCAACAGAGTTTATAGTTTCTCCCAGGAACCAGAAGAAAGATTTAGCTCAGCATTGGAGCTTTGCTAAGGCTGTGGGAATTCCACACCGATTTGTATCAAAACCTCAGCATCAGAAACAAACTTTGCAGGATGAGTATTTAGATTCAAGTATGGATATGCTGTATCCCGGCAGCCTGCCTCCAGACCTCCAGGTGAACTCAGATGACCCTCCAGGGCCCCGTGAGCAAGTTGGACTGTCTCAATTCCATCTAGAGCCTGAAACTCAAAATCCAGAGACCCTTGAAGAGATCCAGTCCTCTTCACACCAGCAAGAAGCCCCAGCGCGCCTTCCACAGCTCCCTGAGGAGGTGGAACCTTCTTCAACCCAGCAGGAGCCCCCAATCCATCCTCTAGAGGAGGTAGAATCTTCTGCAACCCAACGGGAGGCCCCAACTGAGCCTCCAGGTCCTCCTATGGAGCCTGAACTTTCCCTCAGTGAGCAGGAGCAGCCAGCTCAGCCTTCTGAATCTTCTGGGGAGCTTGAACCTTCTCAGACCCAGGAGGAGACACCAGCTCAGCCTCCAGAAGAGATGGAACCTTCTGCTATACAAGAGGAGACCCCAACTGAGCCTCCAGGTCCTCCTATGGAGCCTGAACTTTCCCCCAGTGAGCAGGAGCAGCCAGCTCAGCCTTCTGAGTTTTCTGGGGAGCTTGAATCTTCTCCAGCCCAGCAGGAGACCCCAGCACAGCCTCCAGAACATCACGAAATAACAGTTTTACCTGCAGGTCACCATCAAGCTCAGCATTCAGATTTGCCCAGCGTCACTGTTAAGCCTCCAGATGTGCAGCTCACCATAGCAACAGAACCTACTGCAGAGATGGAAACTTCTCCAATCCACCAGGAGGCTACAGCTCAGCTCTCAGGACCCATTAGGGATGTAGAACTTTCTGCCACCCAGCGTGGGGGCCCACCTCTGCTTCCAGAGTCATTAGAAGAGGTTGGACCTTTGCCAATTCAACAGGAGACTTCAGTTCAGTCTCCAGAACCTATTAAGGATGAGAACCCCTCTCCAACCCAGGAGGAGGCTGCAGCTGAGCATCCACAGACCCCTGTGGAGGTTGAGTCTCCTCTAATCCAGCACAAGTCCCCAGCTCTGACTCCACAGCTCCCTAATGAAGTTGTAGCTCAACCTCCAGAGCATCATGAGGTACCAGTTTCTCCTCTAAGTCATGACCAAGTTCAGCCTCCAACATTGCACAGTGTCACTGTTAAACCTGTGGATCACATGGTTACAGTGACTCCAGATCTCACTAATCAGGTTGAAATTTTAACCCAACAGGGGGTCCCAGCTCAGTCCTTAATGTCCCCTAAGCAGTTTCAACATTTGAAAGACCAGCAAGAGATTATCATTCAGCAGCTAAACACCCCTGAAAATGATGAACTTCCTCCAGTCCATCAAGAGCCCACAACTCAGCCTCCAACTCAGCTCAGTCCATTGAGTAATGAGATGGTATTTTCACCTCTAGATCTGTCTCCAGTATTCAGAAGTAATTCACCTTTGCCTAATACCACAGTTAAAAATGTGGATCTGGAGCTTACCATACCTACAGAAGTCACTATGGAGGTTGAACCTTCTCCAGTCCAGCAGGACAACCCTCCTATTCCCACTGAGCGGGCAGACTTTTCTCTAGTCCAGCCTGATCTCCCTTCCCCACCTCTGCATTCTCCTGAAAAGATTGAACCTCCAGTCCAGCAGGAGGCCACAGCTCAGACTCCAGATTCCCCTAAGGAGGTAGAACCCTCTCCAGTCGGGCAAGAGTTCCCAGCTGAGCCACCATTGCCCCTTAAAGAGGTTGAACCATCTGCAACCCAGCGGGAAGCCTCAGGTTATCCTCTGAAGTCCATGGAAGAGATCAGTCCTCCTCCACAGCAGGAGATACCAGCTCAGCCATCAGAGCCACCTGGGAAGGTTGAACCATCTCCTGTCCTACAGCAGGTCCCAACTCAGCTTTTAGAGCCACCTAAAGAGGTAGGATCCTCTCCAGTCCAGCAAGCAGTCCCTGCTCAGTCTTCAGAGCCCCCTATGGTGATAGAACCTTCTCTGATCCAGCAGATGGCCCCATCTTTGCCTCCAGAGTTCCCTCAGGAGCTGAAACCATCCCTAACTCAGCAGGATGTTCCAGCTCAGATTCCAGAGCCCCCTCTGGAGACAGAACCTTCTCCAACCCAGCAGGAAGCCACAGTTCAAGCTCTAGAGCCCCCTAAGGAGGCAGAACCTTCAAGCCAGCAGGTGATCCCAGCTGAGGTTCCAGAGCCATCTAAGGAGGTTGCAGCTCAACCTCCAGCTCATTCTGAGGTGACATTTCCAACACCAGGTCAGGATCAAAGTCAGCATTCAACATCGCCTAGTGTCACAGTTCAACCTTTGGACCTGGGGCTTACCATCACTCCAGAATCCACGACAGAGGTTGAACTTTTTCCAACCATGCAGGAGACCACAACTGAGCGTCCTAAGAAAGTTGTACCCCAGTTTCCAGTATATCAAGAGGTAACAGTTCCAACACCAGGTCAGGATCAAGCTCAGCATTCAATGTCATCCAGCGTTACAGTTCAACCATTGGACCTGGGACTTACCCTAACTCCAGAACCCAGTATAGAGGTTGAACATTCTACACCCGTGAAGAAGACGATAGTTCCTTCAAAGCACCCTAAGGTGACCCTTCCACATCCAGACCGTGTTCAGACTCAGCATTCAAACCTGACTCAAGCCACAGTTCAACCTTCGGATCTGGGGCTTACCATCACTCCTGAATCCACTACAGAGGTTGAACCTTCCACAGCCCTGACGACTACAGCTCCTCCTCCAAAACACCCTGAGGTGACACTTCCACCTTCACCCAAGAGTCAGGCTCAGCATTCAAACCTGACTCAACTCACAGTTCAACCTTCGGATCTGGGGCTTACCATCACTCCTGAATCCACTACAGAGGTTGGACCTTCCACAGCCCTGACGACTACAGCTCCTCCTCCAAAACACCCTGAGGTGACACTTCCACCTTCAGACAAGGGTCAGACTCAGCATTCAAACCTGACTTCAGTCGTAGTTCAGTCTCTGGACCTGGAGTTTACCATCACGACAGAACCTACTACAGAGGTAAAACTGTCTCCAACCACAGAGGAGACCTCAACCCAGCCTCCGGATCTGGGGCTTGCCATAACTCCAGAACCCACTACAGAGACTGGACATTCTACATCCCTGGAGAAGACTACAGCTCCTCGTTCAGACGAGATTCAGACTCGGCATCAAAACCTGACTGAAGTCACAGGTCCACCTACTGAACTAGAACCTACTCAGGATTCATTGGTGCAGCCTGAAACTTACGCCCAAAATAAGGCTTTAACTGCACCAGAGGAACAGGCCTCCGCAAGCACCAACATGTGTGACCTCTGTACCTGCAGAGATGAGACGCTGTCGTGTATTGATCTCAGCCCAAAGCAGAAGCTCCGCCACGTGCCTGTGCCAGAGCCCAACACCTACAATGGCACCTTCACTATCTTGTAAGCATCACCTTTCCTCCATTGTCCTCTGTGTCCTGCCTGACATGGCAGCCTTTTCCTGGAGGCCTTCCTGGGCCTTCCTTATCTCCCGAAGCCATACTGACAGCTGACTTTCTGCTCCCACCTTTGCTTGTCCACTCTTCCTTCTCCTCATTCTCCTTTACTGTTAGGCCCCTTCTCCAGTCTTTTACTTTTACTCTAGTCTTTTACCCTTACTCGTTTTCTTATCCATTTTTATTTAGCCTCATCACATCATTGCTTAACCGCTGCTCTCCTCCCATTTTCACTTCACCCTCTTTACAGCAGCCTGTCCCTCTCCCCGTCTCAGTGATGATGCTCTGAGTGCTTAAGAGTTGATTCTGGAGCCAGGCTGCCTGGGTTTGAGCCCAGGTCTGTCATTTATTAGCTTGGTGACCCAGAGCAAGTTATTCTGCTCTGTGATTCAGTTTCCTCATCTTTATTTATTTATTTTTTATTTTAAAGACAGGGTTTCACCATGTTGGTCAGGCTGGTCTTGAACTCCCGACCTCAGGTGATCCACCCGCCTTGGCCTCCAAAGTGTTTAGATTACAGGCGTGAGCCACCATGCCCGGCCCGTCCTCATCTTTAAACTGGAGATTATGCTAGTTACCATTTCACAGGATTGTTGCAAAATTCAGGTGAGTGAATACATGAAATACTTGCATCGGTGCCTAGCATATGTAGGAGTTTTGGTTGTTAACATGATTACTCAGTCCTTTAGTTTTGTCCGGAACTCATCTTTGTCCCTGGCTTTCTATCTGTAGCACTCGTTTTGTGTCCAACCCAGGGCGAAGTATGCTACCATCTCCAGAACATGAAAATGATAGGGGGAAGGGAGAGAATAGGCATGAAAAGGGAGGTCTATGTAATTAAGTACTGAAAGATAATGCAGAACATCGGTGCTAGAATTTACCAGAATCTGTGATCCTTGAGATGTGGAGGTCAGGGAAAGCTACATGGATAAGCTAAAACTTTACTTGGGTCTTAAAGAGTAGCTATAATTTGTTAAATAGAAAAAGAAAAAATGGGAGTATAGTCTAGGCAACGGCATGGCTACAGGTATGGTTGGAATTTAGTAGACCAATCTTGCTGCACAGAATCACATGAGGGAACAATGAAGATATGATTATGTAAAACCTTGATTATCAGCTAGAGGAGTTTGAAAGTTACATAGTGAGATATGGAAAGCCATTGAAAGTTTCCAAGCAAGAGAGATGAAATGATTACAACAGGAAGATTATTTTATTTTGTTTTTTGCTTTATGTTCAAGTGTAGACATGCAAAGGATTATTTTAGAATCCATATGTAGAGTGCCCTAGAGGAGAAACTTTAATTCAGGGAGACAAATAGAAAGGTCTAGCAAAACCTAAGAGTAAAGTGTGAAGGGGCTAAATCAGATCGGTTGTAATAGAAGTGGAAAGAAAAATCCTAGGATGTTTCAGCAGAGGGCACTGGGCCAAAGCTTTGGTGTTACCTGGCATAGGGCTTCTTTCTTCTTATTTGTTGATAATGATAAGCTTTTGCCCATTTTCTGTTGAATTATTTACCATTTTTGTATTGATTTGTAGAAGAAGTTGTTTAGACACATAAGTGCTTTTGTATGAAATACTTACATTCAAAGTAATTAACTGGCATCATCTGTCTAAGAGATTGGACGGATAGGAAGTTAAGCTTTGGGAGACGCCTCATCATTTGTGCCAGTGGCCCCACATTATTTCTTGATTAATTGTGCAAACTGAGAACCTGATAGCTCTGGAAATTAGAAGGCAGGTGTTATTTTCTGTAACTGAATATCCCTGACAATGTTGCCATGATTCTTTTTCTTATCCTGTTCATTCTTTTCCTACCTATTCAAGGATATAAACTGTGTTTCTTTACAGAAATTTCCAAGGAAACTATATTTCTTACATTGATGGAAAGGTATGGAAGGCATTCCGTTGGACTGAGAAACTGTGAGTATATTCTCTCCAAATATGACAAAAAAACTAACTGCATTGTAAGATCCTTCTTGGTCCAGAATTTTGAGGTCTGTACTTCTGAGAAAAGGTATTTCCCCTCCATACCCCAAATCAACCTCTGTTGATTGCAATCCTATGGTTATTTTAGAATTAAATTTGGTGAACTCTCTTTAAAGTAAAAGGCCATTTTATGGCCTCTTTAAATTTATTTTTTATCATCCAAATAATACATGATTATATTCCCTTTTTCTCCTCTCTCTCTTTTCTTTTTTTTTTTTCTCCAGAGACAGGGTCTTACTTTGTTCCCCAGGCTGGAGTACAGTGGCACAATCACGGTTCACTGCAGCCTCTGCCTCCCAGGCTCAAGAGATCCCCCACCTCAGCCTCCGAAGTATCTTGGACCACAAGTGCATCCCAGCACGCCCACCTAATTTTATATTTTTTGTAGAGACAGGGTCTCCCTATGCTGCTTAGGCTGGTCTTGAACTCCTGGGCTCAACTGATCCTCCCACCTTGGCCTCCCAAAGTGCTGGTATTACAAGCATGAGCCACCACCCCCAGCCCATGATTTTATTTTTAATGTATAAAAATGAAATAACAGATGTAACAAAAACCCTCCTTGTGCCCTACACCCTGAACCCTGAGGTAACACTACCCTGCATTTAGTATATATCCTTCCAGACTTTTTCCCATTGCCTACGTACATATTTACATAAAGCAAAATAGATTTGTTGTGTGGTTTTTAAAAAGTGGTAACATCTTGTAACTTGATTCTTTCACTTCATGATATGCCTTAGATTTCTTTCCTTCCCAGCACTTAGAGGGTTACCCCATTCATTTAAACTCCTGCATAATCCATAGTATGGACGCATCATAGTTTATTTAATAATTCCCCCATTGATGAATGTTTAGATTACGTTTAGTTTTCCTGTTATGTCCATTGCTGCAATGAAATCCCTGCACATGCTTCTTTGTGAACATGGGAAATCATTCCTGTAGAATAAATATCTAGAAATGGAATTGTTGGGGTATGGGGTATTTATGACTATGTGGACATAAAATTGTAATTGCCCTCAAAAATGTTGTGCCAACTTACTCTGTTGTCAGTAGAATACGACAGCATTGATTTCCCCACACTTTTTCACCACTGGGCATTCTCCAACTTTTTGCTGATGTTATGGGTGAATAAAAGGGATTCTATCTAAATTTGAATTTTTCTGATTACTCATAAATTTAATTAAATACCTTTATATGTTTATTGAACATTTGTGTTTCTTCTCTGAGCTTTCTGTCCTTTGTTCATTTTCCTGTAGAATTGTTTTATTATTTTCTTACTGATTTATAGAAGGAATTAGTTTAGACACATAAATGATTTTGGAAAAAATGCTTACATTAGAAGTAACTGATATTTTTCACAAGAGTTTGTGTGTCACATCATTAGTTCAACTTACATTGAACTAATGTAATTATATTATATAGACAAGTCATACGTGAATTCTAAATTAAAAATAAAACACATGCTGGGCGCAGTGGCTCGCAACTGTAATCCCAGAACCTTGGGTGGCCGAGGTGAGTGGATCACCTGAGGTCAGGAGTTTTGTGACTAGCCTAGCCAATATGGCAAAACCTCATCTCTGCTAAAGATACAAGAATTAGCCAGGCATGGTGGTGGGTGCCTGTGATCCCATCTACTTGGGAAGCTGAGGCAAGAGAATTGCTTGAACCTGGGAGGTGGAGGTTGCAGTGAGCCAAGATTGCACCACTGCACTCCAGCCTGGGCAACAGAGTAAGACTCTGTCTCAAAAACAAAACAAAACAAAAAAAGACAATCATAGTAATCTAAGAAGAGGAATTATGGTCACTTTAAAATAGTTTCCCCCACCCTTGTCTGATATCTTATTGATAGGAAAAAAAAAAAAAAATACTAGAACCAGACAATTCTGCTTTCTAGCTCTAGTGGAGAGGTGTGATTCTCTGGGGGTTGTGTTCCAGATGGAGTCTTCTGAGAATAAGGAAAGTGTGGGAGATGGCTAGTAAGTGAGTGTACACCCTTCCTCCAGGGTTCCAGGACGCTGCCCACTTTCAGACAATTGTTCCTGCCTGGAGGAAGACACTCTTTGCTGCCTGGCCCAAGGAAGAAGGATATGGGGTTGATGTGCCTCTGGCTTCTCCTACTACCCTGCCCCAACCAATAACCAAGTATTTCTGATAAAGGAGCATTTGTAGAACTGCTTCCACATTTTGAGCTAAGGTTGTGGATTTTAAAATTATTTCTGTTCTATAATTTTTAGGGATTTGGTAGCAGTTGGATGGGTAGAGACCTGGCATTTTCTCAATCTGCCACATGAAATAGCACGACTTTTTAGGAAAGCAATTTTGTACCCTTATTAGTACATTCTAGAGAAACTCAGACAAAAATGTTATCAGGATACAAGTATTAAGAATGTTCAAAGCAGTATTGTTTGTAGTAAGTAAAAATTAGAAAAATCTCAGCATCCATCCACAGTAGATGAATCAGTACATTGCAGTATAATCATTCAATGGAATACTCTACAGCAGCATTATTCATTAGAAACCTAATGCAAGCTACATACATAATTTTAACTTTTCTGGTAGTCACTTAAAAAATAAAACTAAAAAGGAAACAGGTGAAACATGTTAGTATATTTTATTTCACCCATGTATGCAAAATATTATCCTTTCAACATGTTATCATTATGCTATTAACGAGATAGTCTATTTTCATACTAAGTCTTAAAAATATCCAAAGTGGTATCATTTCTACATGTAATTAGTGTAAAAATTAATTGTGGAGTTTACATTCTTTTTTCGATACTAACTTTTTTTTAACGGAAATCCAAATTTGGTTGTTAAATTTTTATCAAAAAAACTTAATCTGTTCTGCTGAGAAATCTAGGCAGAAAGTTAATAATAATAATAATAATAATACTTAATCTGGCTGGATGTTAGGTAGCTCATGCCTGTAATCCCAGCACTCTGGGAAGCTGAGGCAGGTGGATCACCTGAGGTCAGAAGTTTGAGGCCAGCCTGGCCAATATGGCAAAACCTCATCTCCTCTAAAAATACAAAAATTAACTGGGTGTGATGGCGGGCACCCGTAATCCCAGCTACTCGGGTGGTTGAGGTGTAAGAATTGCTTGAACCCAGGAGGTGGAGGTTGCAGTGAGCCAAGATCGCACCATTGGACTCCAGCCTGACTGATGAACGAAACTCCATCTCAAAAACAAAAACACTCACACCTGTAATCCCAGCACTTTGGGAGGCTGAGGTGGGCAGATCACCTGAGGTCAGGAGTTCGAGACCAGCCTGACCAATATGGTGAAACCCCATCTTAAAAAAAAACAAAAAACCTTAATCTATATTTAGATTTCATAAAATTTGCAGTTGAAAAAGTAGCATCATATGCCCAAATTTTTGCAAACATACATTTTCTAACAACTGCATTGAGTGTCAGCTTTGAAATTTAAAAATAATTAAAATGATTGAAATTAAAGATTCATTAGCCACTATCTAAAGATTCATTAGCCACTAAAGATATTGCATTAGCCACTATCACTAGCCAAATATAGCTAGTGACTACCTTATTGGAAGCACAACACAGGTCTTGAACCAGCCTCAGCAACATACATCTTAAAACTACAGATTATTGAGTGAAAGAAGTGATACAGAAAATAATATGTATAATATGATTTCATTTACATAACGTTCAAGAGGCAAAGCTAAACTATGTTGTTTGTGACTGACACATAATAGGTAAAATACATTTCATTTCATTTTATTTTATTTATTTTTGAGACAGGGTCTGCAGTGGTGCAAACACGGCTCACTGCAGCCTGGACTTCCCATGCTCAAGTGATCCTCCCATCTGAACCTCTCTAGTAGCTGGGACTATAGGTGATGCCAACATGCCCAACTAATTTTTAAATTTTTCTAGAGAGGAGGTCCTGCTGTATTACTCAGACTTGTCTCGAACTCCTGAGCTCAAGCAATCCTCCCTTCTTGGCCTCCCAAAGTGCTGGAATTACAAGTGTGAGCCACCATGCCTAGCCAGAACTACATTTTATTTCTTATTTATTTATTTTTTGAGACAGAATTTCATTCTTGTCACCCAGGCTGGAGTGCTATGGTGCAATCTCAGCTCACTCTAACCTCCACCTCCCAGGTTTAAGCAATTCTCCTGCCTCAGCCTCCTAGGTGGCTGGAATTACAGGTGCCTGCCACCACACCCAGCTGATTTTTGTATTTTTAGTAGAGACAGAGTTTCACCATGTTGGCCAGGCTGGTCTTGAACTCCTGACCTCAGGTGATTCACCCACCTTGACTTCCCAAAGTGCTGGAATGATAGTCATGATCCACCATGCTAGACCAGAACTACATTTTAAAAGCAAGAAAATTATTACAAAAGTCAGGATACTGGTTACCTATAAGGATTAGAGAGAGGTTTATGATTGGAAAGGGGCACATTGGGGGCTTCTGGGATGCTAGCGGTGATCTTTTCTAATGACGTTACATGGGTATCTGCTTTATAATTATTAAACTGAATATTTGGCCAGGTGAGGTAGCTCACATCTGCAATTGCAACACTTTGGGAGGCTGAGACAGGAGGATCACTTGATCCAGATGTTTGAGACTAGTCTGGGCAACAGAGTGAGACCCTGTCTCAGAAATTAAATATAAACAACATTTATATTATGTGCACTTTATGCATATTGTAGTTCTCAAATTTTTTTAATGGGGAAAAATGTTGAATGGCTTCACTTGCAGCCCTGACATAGTTCATGTGGGGCTTTCATAATAAGGTTTGGGAAAAGAGAGGAGGAAATGGAGGTTCTGCTGATCTTGGTGCCACCCAGAGTTGGATTCTAACAGGAACTTTGTGATTTAGAGAGGAGGCATTGAATATACAATTTGGTGGGAAGAGTGGGTAGGGTGTGCTTGTGTGTGTGTGCATGCTTGTGTGTGTGCTGGTGGTGGTGGAGAGAGATGGACACAAAAATGAAAATGTAAGGAAAGGTTTTAATGAAAGCAGAGCAGATACCATCTTGAAATTACCATTACCCAGCTTTCCTCCACATATAGGAGATAGTCCTGTGTAGCAAATAGTTGTAGTTTGCATTTTAATCTAGAAATAACTTTTTCATTTTCCAGAATTCTCAGTGAAAATTATTTGACTGAATTACATAAGGATTCATTTGAAGGCCTGCTGTCCCTCCAGTATTTGTAAGTTAGTTAGTTAATCCTATTTATGAGTTTTTAGTCATATTATCTGTAAAATGAATAAGGAGATCAATTAGATAATCTCTAAGATTTCTTCCAGGAACAAAATTCTTTAATTCTGTAAGTTTATATAGGGTCTTAGCCCATCTGTAGCATTAGTTATTTCCTATGCATTTTCAATATTTAAATTAGATAGACAAAATACAGACAGAAAAGAATTCACATGGTGAATCTGAGCAGTGATTGACACTCATATGAACCTTGTTTTATAACTATTCACATACCATCTTCTTATATTCAGTCTACAACCAAGAGATCAAATCTAATCTAGGGTCTATTTATAAATAGCCCATTAAATTAATGGTTTTTGCATTTTTTTTTTTTTTTTTTTTTTTT